TAGAGGAAGTGACTGAGAAACCTGCCTGGTGTTTCCATTGCAGCCAGCGGGGAACTTGTCCTTGCAGTGGGGCTGCTGTCACCATTTCATCCCTCATAACTTTCCTTCAGTAGTTGCTGAGCCTGGCTAAGCACAAGGATGGTTACAGATGGACTCCTGGGCTTTGCTGCGCTGTGGCACTGCTGATAGGGATGAGGATGGGTAGGTATGCAAGTAGGTGGAAACTTTCTAATACATCATAATAGTAATAATAATAATAATAATAATAATAACGTACACTTGTACTGCCTTGCAGCTTTTGCTAGAACTTCTGCCCACGCATCAGCCTACTTGGTTCACAATGCAGTGAGCATGCTAGACAATTAGCGGCTGATAATGAAAAATGTCATGGGAACCAGCAGGAAAATCATAGCTTACTCCAAATATATAATGAAATGTAATTAGTACAGACAGCAAAACAGACAATTTATGGTTTGGTTTGGTTTGGTGGGGGGTTTTTTTGTTGTTTTTTTTTTGTTTGTTTGTTTTTTTCATAATTAAAAAGTACCAGTAAACATTCATTTTTCAGGAAGTTTGGTATCAAATGAAATTAAAGAACTATTGTCTGGAATAGGATTTTATGCAAAATTTAACCCTTGTACAGCAGAATGGATTAAGGTCTTGCTAGTTGCGTGCTCCCCAAGCGAATCTACTGTGATGCCTCTTGCATTCATTCCCCTGGTCCTGGTCTGTCTGAAGGGGCAAGGTCTGGTAGCAGAATTGCTGTGAAAGCTGCTACGAGCCAAAAACCCAGATGGATTCAATGCATGTGATGGTGTGGCCAGTACTTCCCTCCTGCTCTTCCAGACAGACTCTCCCTGAGGCAATCTCATAGTGTGGAGGTAGTTTTGAGGGAGAGGTTGGAGCAGGAACAGCATTGTGATGCCTTGTGCTCCCAGTGTCCTCTGTCAGATCTGCTGACCTCACTTCCCTTTCTGATCTTCTCTTTTCTACCTTGGGGCCCTTGACAGTGTGCATCTAGTTTGTTCTTGAGCAGTGTACACACAGAAGTCTGTGCCCTCAACTTGCCAGGAGCACAAAAACTGTTTCTTGGCTTGTGCTCTCACCTGGAGCAGCAGAATGTGTGGACCCTCTATGGCATTGCACAAAGGTGTCTATGGCATTAATTTTTTAGCTTCAAAATGGATAAGTGGGAGAGGGTTCTGGCTGAATGGACTGTTTATGTCCCAAGGCATGTGGTGGCTGGCTCCTTCACTGGACTTGAGTACCCAGGGTTTGAACGAAGAGCTGAATACGTTATTGTCTCATTTTCATGCTCTCAGGTACATCCACTGCTGTAAGGATGGACATTTCACGTGTGTGAGAAACTCTGACACACTCCAGCAATGCTGGAGTAACATGTAACACAAGGGACACGTGTTACATGTGCGCATTTCTGCTGCTTTTCTTCCTCAACACTTTCTCAGGCCCAGACATCCCAAGCCAAAACAGAGCTCTACTCCAGATCAAATTTACAGTTATTTCCCAGGCGTAGACTTATCCTAGAGTTTCAATTCTGCAGAGAAAGCCCTTCAGCTGAGGACTGAGAAGAGAGCTGAGAATGGTCAGGACTGTGTGCAGGTGCAGCATGTTTTCCTCTTGATGATGCAGGAGCAGAGAGCCAGCATGACTCCCCTCTGAGGGATATGAGCTTCCAGCTGGAGCCAGGTGCACAGACTTTAGTGTTTCTACCCACGTACATGACACAGTGCTCAGGTGCAAACTCACAGCCCTCCTTCAGAGACAGTGTGGAACAAACTTCTAGTATCTGGCACGGATAATGTGAGTGAGAGAAAAGGAAACTTCTCCATAAAGCTGTGGTATAGGATGTACGAGCTCCTATGCCTTGTGCTGCAGAAGTCCCAGCCACCTCCTCACAGTCAGACAGACCATCTTTAGGAGAGGGACACTATGGTTTTGCTGCAGGAGCCATCTCTGCAGGAGATGTCACTTCCTGGCAGAGCTGATGTGGTCCTCCTGGGGCACCTTTCCCCTTTGCTTGGTGCCTACACTGAAAGGAGGTGAGTGAGGGATCCCAGCCCTTGTTGGTAGCAGGCTGATTGTCTTTGCTGTACAGCGAGGGTCTATGCTGTACAGCATAGTCTGTGCTCCCAAAAACTCTGCCTCTGTGTGGACAGTTGTTAGTATTTGGCTTTGGAAGCTTCCTGCTGGAATTTGATGCTGGACCTTTTGTGAGCTCTGACAGGAGATGCCTTTTAAATTTTTGCCCCAAGAAGTAGGGGAAGGCTGAAGGGTTGTCCCAGGTCCTGCACCACTGAGCTGCTGCCTTCTTGTTCCTCTGTAGCTGACCAGGAAACGAGAATTAGACAGGCAATAACACTGTTGTGCCACTCTGAGTTCCTTTAGAGCTGGTAGATAGCTGGTGATAATTTGTCTCCAAACTTTCTTTCAGGATGCCTGATCTAGTCAAAGATCTGCTTTTTCCTCTGGGATTTTGCAAGGAATTGTAAAGATCTGTTGGGGAAAGGGACACTTTGAGGATTTCTGTAGCTGGGGGTTGTGTAGCATTTCAGAGCATGTGTTGAATAATTTGTGCTTAAGAAGACTAGTGGCTTGCATGTGCTCTGTCTGAGAAGGGGAAACCCTGGTGCCTCCTTGGGCTCACTGAGATTTTCATGGAAGGGTTTAATAAACAATAACAGTGGCATCCTTGCCACCCCTCCATATCACACCCTCTGCAGTGAAATCACACACATAGAACCTTCAACACATGAATGTCAGTTTGCAACATCCCTGCTGCAGCTTCACACACAGAAACACACAAGACACACATGTGAGCATCTGCACTCACAAGACATGTGGTGATCCATGTGTTTTCTATGCAAGGTAGAGCATAATAATCCTTATTCCTACATATGCTATGCTCAAAAATAGGACAAGTCAGTGATGGGACCCAGCCAGGCTTTAATGTATATTCTGAAGTTATGTCTACTTTAATTTACACTCATCTCCTCTGATTTATACTTGGCTCCAGCAGCCACTTTATGGTGACTTCAGCAGCTGAAAATAGCCAGAGTTGATGTATCACTCAGCCACTCTCACATCCCCAGCCCTGCTCCCTGGGTTGATGTGTGAGGGGAAAATAGGTCTGATATGTGCCTGCCAAATTATCCAGGGGAGATGTGCCATCAAATTTCAGTGCTGGCAAGGAGATCCACTGCCTTCATGGACCCTGCTTAGTGCTGGTGAGGCACAAGGAGGTCAGAGAAGTAATGGCCGGGTAAGTGTTCAAGGCCAGGTTGGATGGGGCTTTGAGCAACCTGGTCTAGTGGAAGGTGTCCCTGCCCATGGTAGGGGGGTTGGAATGAGATGGTCTTTAAGGTCCCTTCCACCCCAAACCATTCTTTGATTCTGTGAAGTGTCTGTGCCCATGCAGAAGAGAGCAATGGAAATGCAGACTTGATCTTGTTGTCATTTAAGCTGCTGCAATTCAGTGCATATTTCTGTTCCTCCCTTAGGCTGGAGTGAGAAAGGTCACAGCCACCTCCAGAGTTTGTGTAACACATATTCCTCTGGGTTCAGTCCCAACCACTCATCCGTTTTTCATGTGGGCCGCTGCTATGCATTGGTGATTTTTGTTTCCAATTGAGACACGCTGGCTGGTATTAATTTAGTTTTTTAAAATCCCCTAGATTGTCGTCCTACTGTGCACTATCAAGGCTGTAACTGGAGACAGTGTAGCTCTTCTAGCCTAAGTCTTTCGCTGAGTCAAGTCTTATAAATTCCCAGTGGGATGTTTCACAGGCAGGTCTGGCGCTGTTTACATCCTTTCATCCCGCTCATCTCATCTGAGCTGTAGCTTTGTAATCACAGGCATCCCTGGTGTGCCACTGATGCTGCTGATGTTTCATTTTTATGGGGTCTCTGACTTGAATTGAACAGCTGAACTTCACCCCTTCCCTGGTGAAGTAATTATCAGAATAACAAGCCAATTTTTTTATTTTTTTTTTTGCAGATGGCACTGAAAGTTTTTGACACGTGCGCCCTTGCCACCCACATCAGATGATGTATGTAGTGTTTGTCCCTTGTTTTGGCATTTTGATATGTGTGAGAGAGGTGAAATGGCTTTAAAAGCTTTTTGCTGGCGCCTGCGGTTTGTTGCAGACCCAGTGGCACAGGCAGAACATGATAAATTGAAATCAGATTGTTTCTTTACAGTTTGACATAGGGATGTTGATGTACAGGGCTAGGGCACCAGCTAGTGCAAAACTGCTGTGCTCGTTACCTGTGGCCAAATCTGACACTCAGGGAGCTCAACTGAATTACCTGAGCTGGAGGCTGGGTTTTTTGCAGAAAATAATGGTAATTATGTAGTATGGTAATATACTTCTTACTTAAGGGTAAAGTAACAGTTGAATGAAGATCGTAGGCTATACATTAACCTTGTTCTTAATGTAATGAAGTTAGTGATTACCATTATGTGCAACCTGATGGTTTTAAAGAAAATACACAAACTGAAATGGAGGTGTTGGGGCCTTCGCCTTCCCAAGCTAATCCTCCCTGCAGTCTCCCCTGAGAATTTGCCTCTAGCTGTGTAGAAATATTTAATGACCAACTGCCCTTTCTCAGCTGCATCCTTTTTGCAGTATAGAGGGAGAGTGTCACTGTTGAAGCTGGTGGAATTCTGCATTCATACTAAAGTTTATTAAAATTAGTGTCTTTCCTGTGTTACAGTTCATCATGTAGCAGAAATCAAGACCTTAACTGGAAAGAAGTCTGATATGTTATCTACCTTGTTGTTGATGTTCTCAACAGACTCAACCAATGCAGATGTTGCATCCATTTCACACAAAGCCAAGTCCTGCTGGATTTCATTTCTATTTCTTCTGTGGAGAGGATGGGAAAGCAGAGCCATGGATACAGCTGTGGTTAAACCACATCTTTCTCTGGGTAGTTTTCCCGCTTGTGCTGATGTTTTCTTTCTGACTTTCTGTTCTTAGTTACTCCTGGGGCCACTGGGTTTTTGTCTGCAGTTGGAGCCTTCATTATCCTCCCTGCAGTCCTCTTCCACTTCATCAACAAGAAGCTCTGCTTTGAAAAGAGAGGTGGTGGGCTCCCATGCCTGGAACGAGGGCAAAGAAAACACTACAAAGGGATGTCCAGAGCTTGTGAAGGCCTTGGTAAGTATCACAGTATTTTACTGCCTTTGATGTACAGAATCTTCTTGAGGCTTTGATCGCTGGGAGGACAGAGACAGACCCATTTGCTCTTTCTCAGGTTGTTTGTGGAAAACAGCAGGATTTTGGATAGTCCATAGTAACCTCCCGGAGTCGATCATATGGATATGCAATTGCTACCATGCTCCCATTATCTTTGTTGTCTGGAGTAATCTCTTGAAAAATAGAAGGCAACACTGGGGGGAAAAAAGCACACTCCCTGCTCTGTCTGTTGTGGGAGTGTTTTGTTTATCTAGTGAAGAGCAAAATGTGAACATTTTTGAGTAACGACAGTGCCTTTCTGCTCGCAAAGGGTTTGCATGTCCCGATTTTCTTGTAGTAGCTATTACACACTCCTTCATGTGTTTCTTGTTTTCTGGAAACATGTCTCGGGTAAACCCATGAGTCCTGGAGTCAAAATAACTGGGAATTTTACCGTGTTACAAAAATAACATTTTAATTTTTCTCAGCCATCAAAAGCGGATCCATTCTGGTAATGATGGTAACTGGGAATTTGGTAATTTCTTTATGTCTTTCTATGTAAATTTGCGTGTCATAAGCTTATAACCACTGAAATAATCAGCCAAGAAGAGACCTCAGAAGCCTCCCAACTAAAAGTTCTCCTTCTCAGTGGTTCAGTCTTAAAGCTATTGGAGAAGGACACAATCCCAAAGCGTGGAGCCCCTGGAAGGTTGTTTTGCTGTACATTTTGCCCTGTGCCTCAGCGTGGCTGTTGCAAAGAGCATGATCTGGTCATACCTTAAGGCTCCAGGCTTTATGGACATGTCAAAGGCCTGGATGTCACATGTGATAGGAACTCAGTGGGACTAAGTCTTGTTAAATTTATTACCCAAAAAGGTACAAATACCAATGGCACTTGAAATGATTTCCACCTACCCCCTCTCCACTGAAAATCCTAACTTCAATGTTTCTAAACAAAGTCTATATGGTTTTTTTTTTTTTATAAGTTTCCTTTGTCAATATTATTTTTAAATCTTTTTCCCCTTCTCTTCGCCTCCCATCAAGTGGTGTAAAAATGTGGCTTTTATTTCGGTTTGTAAGATGACACATCTCCTAGGAGCGTGTGGGTGTTGACATTCTATGGAGCTGTCACAGACTATCATGTAAACATGTATTTGCAATACTTTTTAAAATGTGAATTATTAATAAACAGGGTGGCTTGCTTTTTTTTATTATTTTTTTTTATTTTGTTGCTACCAGATTTTAAAGGACAAGAAATTGCTTTCCAGCTGACACTCTCAATAGCAATTTTCATTTCAGACTAAATCTCATGTGTCTGAGTAATAAACCTTTGAAAACATGGGTTTATAATGGAAACACTAATTCAACTTTAACTACAGCTGTGCCATGCTAGCAAAATACCACATACATTAATGAGGTGCTAAATCTGATACGGCAGAGGAATGTGTTGTAATCATTAATTACAATTGGAGCTTAAAGTTGGAGTCTGCTTTTTCTGTTCAAATAAAATCAGCTCCGCGGGTTGGAGCAAAGAGTTATTTAAAAATATCATCTCTATATTTAGTTTAAATTTCACCGTAGCGTTTTGATACTTGTAAAGCCAATATGGAATATGTGTGTAGGAAATGCCAGTGCTTTTAAAGGACAGCAGCATGAGAGAATATATTAAACCCTGGGCTAACACAGTGAGTGTCATATGGCGAATGTAGAAACCTGGAGGCTGAGCTGGGGCTGCAAAGCCAGGGAGGGCTGTTTCTAGCACGGCAGTTGCCTGGTGAGGGAGCTCTCCCAAGAGCAGTGTTGACAAGAAATAGTTTGCTTCACGTTCGCAATCTGACTTTGCTGGGTAGAAAGGAGCAGGACGGGAGGGTTTGTAACATGTAACTTATTGGTAACTTATTCGCTTTTCCTCTTCTCAACTTCTTCTGGTGAGCTGTGTATGTTACGAGGAGATCCCGATTCCAAGGACTCTGCTGTTCTCTACCACTAATCCCACTAATGGTTGCTCTTCCCAGTTCTAAGCTCTCAGACTGGGGAAAGCTTTTTGATTCTCCACATCTGGAATTAAGAGTGGTTAGAACATATCTGTCTGCTATGGCTATCAGCTTCACAACTGTTTAAATAGGAAAGAAGGCGTTTTGAATTTTGATCCCTCTGGCATGACTGTAACATCTGCTGTAGGATAAATCCCAACTTGCAACAGCAGAGGTAACTGAAGGCTGTGGCCTGAGAAGTTGTGTATGTGTTCTGTGCATGAGCTGCTTCTCTTGTCCTTGGATCCAGTTAAGTTTTGAGTTACCTATTGGTGGAGAGTTGGTAGAGAAGCATAAGCAAACCTGTCTACTCTGCACTTTGCAGGTGCACAGGCTGACATTCAGAAAATGTGCTGTTAAATGTCAAAGCCTTTTTTGTTGTTGTTTTTGCTTTTCTGTATAGAGCCTGACCTCAGAACAAGGCAAGTAACAGAATGAAATAGGTGTTTCCATCGTCATGGCTCTAGGATACATCTGGCTGATTTGTTCCTAATTTAATTCTAATTGCACAATTTGTGTCCTTATGAAAGGAATGAGATAAGGAAAAGATTGTTACGAAAATGAAGATTTCATTGAAAAACTTTCAAGAGACTTCAGGACAAAGACTCTTAATTGCTGGAACACAATGGATAGCAGATTTTTGGTACTTGAGGCTTTTGTGGATCCTATTCTTGACTGGTTCCTTGACATTAGTGGTAAGTCCATCTCTTGAGCAGGGATGTGCTGCCCTGATTGCTTCTCACTCAGCTGCAGGAGTCCATTCACTGGGAGGGCTGGAGCTCATCCGGACACAGCCAGCATTTAGGATGCACTTGGCACTGCAAAGTAGAGCTCAGAGCAGGCTGCAAATCTTGGTAGAGAAGCTGGTAACAACATAACCAACAGGAGAGTAGCACAGAGCATACCAAGCTTGCTTGTCTGTGTCCAAGCATGTGCAGGGGGAAGTGATGATGGCATGGCATGAAGCAGTCCTGGCTTGCCTGGAGTGATGTAGAGCCTTGAGGTAGGTCATGTGCCGAACTCCTAAGTGAGGGAAAAATTAAATACCACACCTTAATAGTCAGCTGGAGTGGTTGCCCACAGCATTGGTGATCTTTCTGTCAGTGGGAGAATGTGCTTATGTGAAATTTCCCCTTGAATCATGTCTCCGCACAAGGAAGGAAGACCTACCCTTGAGCAAAGGCTTGGCAGAGGTCAGTGAGCTCTCATGTGGGACCTTTTGATGCTGTGATGGTCTGGTATCCCTTTCTGTAGTGTGAATTTCAGGACCAAGAAATGGTGATTATGTTCTTACATACAGTGTTTATAATGTTGGGGAGCCCTTTGCTTCAAAAGTTCACAGGTGCAATAATTTTCACAGAAACATGTGACAATACTGTGCAAACCCTCGTGCAAAAGCTGTATCTAACCATATGCTTCAGTGCCAAGACTCGAAAAACTAAAGGGCCCTCTTTGTTCTATACAGTCATCTTTTTTAATGATGTGACCTGAGGCTGGGAAAGAAATCGTAGTTTCCTGACTGTGCTTTATGCAAAAATATTCCAGTTGTGCCTTGCCTTGAACACTTGTGATGTTAAGGATGTACTCCTGATATGTGAAAACAGCATAAACATCATGAGGTTCGAAGGAACAGTTTTTCCATTTTTCCTTCTGTTTTGGCAACCTAGAGAGTGCTTTCAGTTCACGTTCTCAAGCTGTTCTGCTCAGCCACTGCTCCAGCCTCTGGGGCTAGCAGCACACTTTAAATAAATAAACGGAGCTGCAGTTCTTATATAAACCACTCATCTCCCATAGCTGAGGCTGCAAGGAAAGCATCAACACCTGTAACACTCACCAAGGGCAGGAATGTTAGCAGTGCTGCCTGGGTGCTGACCTTCATTGTCAGTACTGCCCTGGCGACCAGTCACATGCAGTGTTTGGGACTGTCATATGACAGCAGAGGCAAAGCTTCATGTTTAGGAACAAATAATGTGGGGGAGTGTGACAGCACCAGTCTGGCATGCACAGTGTGCTGGCTTCCTCCAAAACAATGGTAAGCTGTGGAAAACCCAGGAATGTACTTCTCCAAAGAAATACAGTCGTGGTTAATCTTTGTAACTCTGATGCTGGGTACCCAGTAGCTCCACTATCCTTGGCAAGTGCAGATTGAAAATGAGCCTGGAGTTATCCACATCACCTAATTGAGATATGTAGCTCAGCCAGGGTGTTCGGTTCCTTGACCAGCCAGTGGCAGGAGTGGAGAGAAGCTTGTGAAAGGAAAGTTTCTCAGTGCCCAAATGAAGCCACTCTTCAGAGTGCTTTTTCTCTCAGTTGCTTCTACTGAGGCACACAGGAAGAGTGGCTGGACATGGGAGAGTGTGACTGTTGCCACTGATGCCTGCCCTAGAAGTTAGAGAACCTGAAGTAAATGAAGGATAAGAGATAGCTGAGAGAACAGTTCCTAAGCTGGTAGGGACAACTGCCTAATCAGATCTATGGCTCCAAATTCCTTTAAATCCTTTCAACCTAGGTCTGGTTTTGCCTGTGACCCCTCAGCCTCCCAGCGTGTCCAGCTGGACTGGTGGTTGACTTAGTAGAAGTGGAAGGAGATGGAAACTACAGACACATGTGTGCACACAGAGGTGGATAACCAGGAATCATCCACTGCATTTTTGGTTCCCAGACAGCTCTGCCTGCACTGCTCGATGGTGGTCCCTACAGAGCAATTCCCGCAGGCTCTGTAAGGATGGAGTGTGTGCGTGGGGGAAGGAGTAACAGTAACTGAGGGACTCCTCAAAATGTTTCTAAAATATCTTCATTGTGTTAAACAGCTAGACATGCTCTCCCACTGCTAATTTCCATGCAAGTAATTGCTCTGATTGACCCTGGCTTGTTCACTTGCCGCAGACTGGCTAGTGTGATTTCAGGCGGGGAGGAGACTCGGTCCACGGGGTCTGCTCTACGGAACAG